ACATTTACCATCACCAAAGAGTTTAATACTACCCAGGAAATGGTGTGTTTACTTCTTGTCTATTTTGTAGACATACACATGTGTGTATATGTATCTGTATATACACTAAGCGACTACATATATGTGTATATAACCATAGTCAGCATAGAATATGTTTTTAAAATTGACAAAAATGAAGAATGTGTGTATTGTTTTATAAGTTTTTCACTCAATGTTTTTGAGATATAGCCATTTTGTTATGTGAAGATATAGTTCATGGACTTTAACTGCTCTTTACTAAATAGTCACATGTGCAAATTGTCATAATTTAGTTATACATTATCCTATTGATAGACATTTAGGTTCCTTGCAGTATTTTGCAGCACGAACATGCTAAAAAGATATACACATGTCTGAGTTTCCCCAAGGGTAAGTATATGAAAATGGAATGTCTGGGTTAAGGTTTGAGCATCTTTACCCTAGTGAGATATTACCAAATTGCTTTCCATTGTGATGGAACTAATTTATGCTTCTACCAACAGTTTATGCTTCTACCGACAGTTTTTCTATCTCCAACAACCATGCTACTGTTATCGTTTAACCTCACTGAGTGACGTAGAAATTAAAGCAACAGTGAAACATTGTATCAATTATAAGACAATAGACCTTCTCTTTATACCAACAGCTAGTTTGGGTTAGAATGAGAAGAAACGGGAATATTCCTGCTGTTGGCTGTGAATGTAAACTATAGCAGGAATTTTGAAAAAAATACTTGGATAGTGTGGAATTAATACTATATAGCAGTTAAAAATTTATATGTTGATATGGAAAGATCTCCAAGACATAATATTAAGGAAAACATATTATAGAACAATATGTACATATTATTATGTACATAATATTAAGGAAAACATATTATAGAGCAATATGTCTTTATGTAAAATAAAATCTTGAAAACTATCCTATACATGAAAATGCATACAAATGTCTGGAAGTTTACATTCCCAACTGTTAACAGTGGTTACCTTTGGAAAGAGACAGGGGATTGGAGGAAAAAGAACAAAATTGGGGCTTTTGATTTTCACTTAAAATAATTGCTTATGTTTATAGCATCAATGTATTTTCATGAATATTAACAAAATAAATAAAATATATTTTTTACAATTTATAAAACATAATTATTTTTCTCTTCTTGCAAGTACAGACATCTAGGTAAAGGCCGCAGTTTCCTTTTTTGGTAACTGGTTAGGCCAAGAGCTGATATTTATGACTTTGTCCCTTACAGCATATCCTTTTGCCTTTAGTGAATACCTCAGCTGGTCATGTCGATTCAAAGGACTAGATGTTGGAGGACCCTTTCAGTGTGGAGTTCTTGTGCTTTGCCGTTAAACTTTGATGGATCCTGACTGGCACCATACGTGGTAATATGAGGAGGTGTTTTAGGACCACAACTTGGTCTTAGTTTTCCTCCCTGCATTCATTACATAGCAGCAACCCATATTTCCCCTTGATAATTAAAAAAAGTAGTCCCCTGGTGGTGTTTGAAAAATATGTCACTGCAGGCAGTCTTGGTGGAGGTGAGGCTTCCTACTGAAAAAGTCCTCAAAGCTGGAGGCCTGTGCAGACCCTGGGCAGCTAGGACATGGGCTTTGAACTTCAAGGGGCAGTCATATCCTTTTGTACAGGACTGTAAGTCTGGAGGGAACAATTTAAAGGGGCAGGTGGCTACACGAAGCACGCGTTCCTGTGTTGCCGTGGTGATGCTTCTGTAATGTGGATGGGTATAGTGTGGTGGTCTTGAGCTGACGGTACTGGCAGTGAAGAGCTCCTGTGGTGCGATAGTGCTCAGTCCTCAGATGCCCATTTTCCTTGTTCCTGCCAGTTTCTGATTTTCCAGTCTCTCTGACAATTCTCCAAGTTCCTCTATAGCTTTCCAATAAAACTTTGATGTTTAATTCAGTTGGTTTCTGTTTTTACTCATACCTCCCACCATCATAGCCCCACTTTGTACCAATTGCAGTCATATAAGATACCTCAAATGTCCAAGCATCAGGATATTTGTTTGAACACTAGACTCATCACTGTCATCTGGAATTTCAGGTCTCAGAGGGATCACTAGACACAAAGCTGTTATTTTGAAGAGTACCTTATTAAATATTCAACTCACCACACTTCACTTCTTGTTCTTTAGGGCTTGTTTTCTGACTAACAGGGACAGAGCCAAATTTTGGGTCACTAGTTTTGAATACAAAGCACTACATATTGCCAAGAGGGAACCCCAATTTCTGATGTGGTCCCTGCAGCTGACATTGCAACTTAATGATAAGACTCTTCTTCTCTACGGATAGCCCCCTATCTCATATAAACCCTATCTCACATGTGCCCACTGCCCCACATAACCCCTTCTACATACCATAATGTACCTAGGGATTTCTGACATGAATTGCCCTTTACAACCCAGTCTAAATTCTGTACATTCTTTCAAAAGTCCTGTTTACATGCCAGTTTCTGAAACACTATTTATTTTATGACCCTAGCTCAAAGTATTAGTGCTTAGGCATTGGACTGCTAATCATAAGGTCTGAAGTTCGAAACCACCAGCGGCCCCTCAGGATAAAGTGGGCTTTCTACTCCCATAAAGAGTTACACTCTCAGAAATTCAAAGGGGCAATTTTGCAATGTTCTATAGGGTTGCTATGAGTCAGCCGCAACTCAATGGCAGTGAGAACTCAAAAAGTGGAAAGTATCTACCTCTCTAGAGGCAGGAAAATAAACTGGAATAAGTGCAAGAATTAAAGGCATCAGAGGTCAATACTGTTAAGTATTCAGTCCTGCAACAATGGTGATCTATGAGTGGATAATGGATTCCTTGTGGTGCTGTGGATTAAGGATTGGGTTGCTAATCTCAAGGCCTATCCTTCAAACCCGTTAGCCACTCCAAAGGAGAAAGATGAGACTGTCCTCTTCCACAAGGATTCTCAGAAACCCTATGGAGCAGTTCTACTCTGCCCTATAAGATCACATGAATTGGAATCTATTCAATAACAGTGAATTTATTTTGGTTTGTGAATGGATGCATGGATAGACACAAGCTAAACAGATATGGGAGGGAGAGTATGACATGAATATATATAGGTTTGAAAAAGGATAGTTCTGGATGTGTATTTACTTACCCGTGCTACAAATATATCTACGAATATGGTGGAGTTTGTATGGTTATGAAGGTATAAATAAAAACCTCTTAGATATAACCAAATACCTTGAGGGTAGGCATCACAGGGCCTGGGAGCACAGCACCATCATCTTGGGGTGGGGGTGGGGCAAACAAGGTCAATTGGCATAACAGTCCACAAAATCAATAATCTACATTCTAGTTTGGTAAGTAGTAACAGGAGACTTAACAGCTCTTAAGTGGCCATCTAAGGTGAAATAACAGGTTTCTCTCTGTCCAGAGGGAAAAGGGAGTGATGAAAATCGATGATGCATGGAAACAACAAATCCAAAGGACTGAGACCAGATAAACTACTACCAACTGCTCTGAAAGGATCACATTAGAAGATCCTGGATACAGTAGAGAGAAAAAACTCAAGATCATAATAGATGCTTGCAGATCAGATAGAGCCTTGTAGCACTCCCAAGACTATGACCCATAGTCATGCTTTCGATCTGGAACAGAACTCACCCCCATGACTACATTTTTAGGCAAATACTAGGCAGGTCTATAAGGGGCAAAATAATACTAGGGAGGTATGCACACCTCAAAACAACAAACCATTTGAGATCAAAGGAGAGCATTTATCCAAGGACAAAGTTCAGAAGGGTGGGGAAGGAAGAGGAATGGAAACAGGAAATATGAGGAGTAAGTGAGATAAATGATACTACATTATAGAAATTGCAATTAGTGGTATGAAACAAAATATGTATGGATTGTTGAATGGAAAACTGATTTTCTTTGTAACCCTTCACCAAATCCACAATAAAAAGTCTTGGGAATGAAAAAGGAGTTATCTTCCTTATTCTTTCCTTCTCTTTGCCTCCCTTCTCTGTAAATCCTTGAGGTCAGGATCTATATCTAAGATAATTCTACAGATCTGAAATGCAGTGCTACTTGCCGACAGGGTAGGTGAATTCCTCTCTCAAGGTAAGATCAGGACACATATTATTCAGAGAGAATCCAGGAGTCATGGCAGCCTGGTTCCAGCAAATTCATCTTTACAACTTCTACTACCAGCTTCTGGAGTCACTGGTACCAACCCCTCATCCTCCCCAAACCCCTATTACATTTCATGATTCTCCTGCTGAATTCCTAGTGTTTCAGAAGATGTTTTGGACCCAAGGCCTTTGTACAGGAGGTGG